AATTCTTGCCCAGAAAACTGATCATTAATTCAAAACAAAAAGTAATGTCAGTAGGAAGGATAGATGAAGTAATAATCCTATTTTAGAACTCGATTCTGTATTCATTTCAAATATTTCAGTCAACTCTTCAGGTCAATATGAGTCTTTTAGAAATTGTTCTAATCTTTAATTCTTTTACCAATGAATAAAATATGTGCTCAAAAGTTTATAGTCATATCGAGCTTTTTTAATTTATATACCGAGTTTAAAAAAACTCTCTTCAAAATATGAAGCTTTCAAAAAGTGCATGTTGTATTCACGACCGATGAAAAAATGGTCGAGATCTTAAAAGTATCAAAAACTTAATTGAAAAATTCTGAATTTTTTTTTTTTGAAAGAAAAAACTATTAAACTTGAGTTCTCTATATGGACAAAATTTTTATATGAAAATCTGACTTTCGAGTTTTCCAAAAATTAGAGGTTTCTAGAAAAAAAAAATTCGATAGTTTTAATCAAACTCACAAATCTTTTTAAGGTTATTGTTCGAACATTATGTAGAATCTATGAGTAAAAACAAAACTGAAGAGATTCATTCCTTAGTGAAGAAAAAAAAAAAAAATCATTTTTGGTTTTTCTAAATGAAAATTAATCGATATGTTAATAAATTTGTTTGAATGACTATAAACTATAGATTAGAATCAATAATATTATAAAAATTTTAACCTTAAAAATATTATTTAAATCTCTTTCACGTCGAAATTGTCGTTTAAGATGTCCATCTTTAGTTGAACTAATTCGTTTCGGTGCTGGAAGTCGAATTTTTAATGCATTTGATGGTAATGTTGATTCAAGTTCAAGTAAACCCGTATATGTATCCAAAAATCGACTTTTAACTAAATATTTATCTGTAAGTTTATCTGGAAAATAACCATTTCGTGTTAATGGACCATAAGCTGTTGAATCATATTTTGTATATGAACGAATAATATCATTTTTAACATATTTTGTTTCAATTTGTGATCGTTTTCGAAGTAAAGCTCGAATAGCTTTATAAAAACAAGAAAAAAAATTTTACTTATTTATTTTCATATGTAATTATATAAAAATTTTACCTCGTAAATAATGAAGTCGATTATTTTTAACAAATTCTTCACGTTCAATTTGTTTTTTACTCCATTGTCGATTAATACGTTCAATTGATGTATCATATCGACTAGCTTCATTATCTTTCAACATTTTTTCTAATAATTCTATACGAAGATTTTGTAATCTATTACCAAAAAAAAGAATAAAGATTAAATCAATATTCAATATGCAAAATGAAAAAAAAAAAAAATAAAAATAATGTTTTACTTTTCAATTTCATTTTCTCTTAAAAGCCATTCATGTCTTTCCATATCACTCATCATTTTAAATCGTTTTTCCCATTGTTGAGGATCATCAAGTGGTGGTAAACTTGCTTCCCATTGACGTTTAGCACGTGCACCTGAACAACAACAACAAAAAAAATCTGTTTTTTTTTTTCAAATATTCAAAGTTTATAAAACTTACGTTCAATCATTTCTACTTCTGCAAGACCAGCTGGAAGACCTTTCTCTAGAATAAATCAATATTAACAAGTATTTGAAAATAAAAAAGAAACATACTATACATAAGAGTAGCTAATGTTAATACTTCAGGTTGTTCACCTGGTTTAACAACATATTCAGGTGTATAAGGATCTGTTTGAGCTTCACGTTCCATATAATCAGTTTGAATAGCTTGTGTTTTTGTTGTTGGTTGTCCTGATGGAATAGCTGATTTTGTTGAACTAACCAGATGTCCTGGAACAGGTTTTATTGCAGATTCTCCAAAAGTACCTGTTGTCGATCGACCAGTATCAAGTACAACTAGTGGTTGAATATTTTCCATAAAAGGTACAAGTGGTTTACGAAAGAATTTTGCACGTTCACGACCTCCGACATCAACATGTTCATATGTTCGTGGTGGAACAACAAATGCTTCATTACCCGTAAAACTAAATATTAGAAAATCAAATACATGCATAGAATAAAAAACAAAAAAAGTTTACAGTCGAGATAGAGCAATTTGTTCACGATGAGCATCTGCTTGTCCTAACCATTGTCGATTGACATGTACTGGAACAGGATCTCGAGATTGAATTCGATAAGCAAAACGAGGATATTGACGTAAATCACTGAATAAATGTTCATAGACAGGTACAGCTTGCTAAAGAAAAAAAAACCTATTTGTATAAATTTTAATAATGATTGCCTACAAACCAATTGTTCTGTAGTCGTTTTTGCTGCAAATGTTTCTCGAGCATGATCACGAACACCTGATAATGTACATGTAGGATCTAAAAATTATAATATTTGTTGGAAAATTTCATAAATATCAACATAAGTTCGTAACTAACCATACAGATAATCATGAAGACGTGCCGGTTGGACGGCACCACGTTTTAAAACTTGAGTTTGAGTTGCCATCTATCTTCTTATTCTAACTACAGGCAATTTTCTTATAGTTGATATACGAATAACAACAGTGGCCATTGTAGCTAACGAAACTATAGTAACAATACTTATGACAAAAACTTTAGAGCAATAATAGATTTTTTTATTATTAATTCTCGACATATAATTCATATTTTATTTGAATATCAATACTAATCTCTTGATTGTGAAAACTAAAGAGAAATAGATGTCGCTAAAGCCTTCAACTTAATTTATACGACTACCCTAGTCGACTTTCCCTAATGAAATCCCCAGGGAGTTCCTACAAATTGTAAAATCCCTGGGAAGTTCGTTACGGGACTCCCCGGGAGTCCGTTGCGGGACTCCTCGGGAGTTAATAAAAAACCCAGCAAATCTGCTGGAGGGAGTTTTTTGGGAGTTTTTGAAAATTCCAAGGAACTCCTCAAATGATCATCCTGGGAGTCCCTAGGAATTTTCAAAAACTCCCAAAAAACTCCCTCCAGCAGATTTGCTGGGTTTTTGATTAACTCCCGGGGAGTCTCGTAACGGACTCCCCAGGGATTTCACAATTTGTAGAGACTCCCTCGGGATTTCATTAGGAAAAGTCGACTAGGGTATGTTACAACTAACCAGTAGAGAAGGCACAACTTCCATTCAAAACCAAAAAAGAGCTTACTCAAATTTCCGGGAGAGGGCATGACGTTCATTTAGGCGGATATTTGAGTAAAAATGAAAATCATGCTTTTTCAAGATTTAAATATAGAAAAATACACTTCAAAATAAAGTCTACCTAATGGTATAAATAACGTTATTAGAGTATTCTCAAACAGACTGAAAAAATAGTTGCCTAAAAATCAGTCTTAAAATCAAAATGTCACCAAGAAAATTAATATCAATAGAGAAAATCGAGTTCTACAAAATGCTAAAAATACATATTTTTTGATATGCTTCTTTAACTTCTGAGAAAATAATTTTTTTTCTATAGTATCATCCGACCGGATAGTCTCGTAAAATAAACAATTCAACTTTGCGAAAATATTCTTCAATCTACTGTCTCTAATCGTTTTTTATTACAAGCATAGCTGAACTGCACAATGGATTTTCCAAAAAATGTTTTTTCTATTTCATATCCAATTATTTTTGAGCAAGAATGTCACATATTCGCCTTCCATGTGAAAAAAACACACTGTGCAATGGAAAGAGAGTGAACCCTTTTTCAACTACCATCTGTCTCCATCACTATTTCCGTATTCAATGAATTAGCAACAACGAAGGCAATTAGTATTTCATCCATTAATATAAGCTATTTTAATTCTCTTATCTATTATATATTAATTGTAATAGATTCCTATTTGCGAATAAATAAGTTAAACCATCTGTTGTTGCTTTTACGAAAACAATATCCACAAAATAGATAATGATTATTTTTTTCTTTTATTTAAAAACTAATAATTCTTTCAAATATATATTTACATGAAAACAGATTACTATCTTTAGCAACTCTATTTCGAAAATTGTCATTAACATAATTATATTTTATTTGGCACACGTTGTGATATTGTATTTTGTCGAATAATAATTGTATTTTTCTTTTTTAAACACATATATATTGTTGAAGTAAATTTGGAACGAAAATAACTTGATGTTAATGAATATACATAAAAACCAATACCAAAATAAAGACTACTCCAAAGAAGCATTATTGTACGTACATAAACAATTGATGGTTTATAATGTACAATGATTGTATATATATGAAACGGAATTTGTGTTATAATAAATGCTAAAACATTAGACATTGCTATAAATAGAAGCATTGTTTCTGTATTTGTTGAATGAACATGATTTGATGTATGAGGAGCTACACGACGTTTTGATGCTCGTATACGACGCCATAATCGAATATTTGCTATAAGCATTATTGATACAGGAAGAATACAAACAAAAAAAGTACGAATAGGTGGCCATATACTTGTCATAAACATATGATAGACTGGATTAAGTTCTGTTGAACAAATTCCTTGAGAATCTTCTCTCATATGTGGAAATAAATAAAATGCTAGAGAAAATGTAAATATAAGTGTATAAATAAAAACAATTCGATATACTAATCGACATGTACAAAAATGTTTAGCACGTGTTGGATAAACAGCACGAAACATACGATCGAAACTAATTGTACAAGCAATAAATGAACTTAATGAACGAAAAACATTTTGAAGCCAATAAATAATACGACAACGAATTAATACAGAATGAAATAATCGAACTAAAATAAGAGATAAAATAAATTTTGATATTAAAAATATTTTATTTTTATTTTATAATAAGATGAGTTCAAAAGTCATAAAGAGATTTTGTTTTTTTTTTTAATATTTATCAAAACATTACAATGTTCTTTAAACACTTCATGAAAAATATTCAATTCAAGATTAAAGTTTGATTTATCGTCATATCCATAAAGTCTTCGAAAGATATAGATAAAATACCTACAAGAGAGCGTTTTCAAATGATCTATTGTTTTTGAGTTCGGAACCAGTACATCAAGGAGAGTTCAGTGAGATATGAAAATCTCAAAAGTGTAAGTGCCCATAGAGCTATTGTTCAGGATTATAAATATTTTACTAGACTTTTAGTCTCTGTCATTGTAAATACGAACAAATCGAATGACGATATTTTGATCTGACATTTTGTCCATAGATAGATCTATTTTATGAGTAGAGTATTCTGTAAATTTCAACTCAAAAAAAAATATTTTCTTTCCAAGATATTAAAGTTTCGAACAACATAAAACTCTAACATCTTTCATGCAATACGAGTGATTTTTGAGAGTTTTAATATCTTGAGAAGAAAATATTTTTTTGAAATGAAATTTTCAGCGTGTTCTATTGCCAAAGAGTTTCGTCTACGGACAAAATCTCAGGTCGAAATATCATCGTTCGATTTCTTGGTATTTATAATACCTGAGGCTAAAATTACAGTAAACTGCTTATAATCCTAAACAGAACGCCTAAAAGCATTTATCAATTTGAAGTTTTTCATATATCACACTCGTCTACTTTACGCACAAAATCCGAATTTTCAAAAATAATCGATCAATTAAAAATTTTGTATTAAACTAATTTTTAAATATTATTTCTGATATCCTGTTACTAAAAAAAAAAACATTACTGATCTGAATAAATCAGCAAACTTATAAATCTTTCATAACATTTATTAGTTAGAAAAATTTCTACTGTTTAAATATCTGTCATCTTGTTTTTTTTCTTTGTACTATATAAAATATATGATATTGCTTACCATTATAAGCAACATCAATAAACTCAACAATTAATGTTAATAATTGAATACTATTTGATATAGTTAATAATAAAAAAAGTAATCCAGTTGATACTCGACGTATTTCAGTACGAATAAAAATTGTCAATGATAAAAGATTTCCTATAAAACCACCTATATAAAAAATTGTTCCGAGAATAGCTGGTATAGCTATTTCTTGTTTTGTAAGTATACGAGACGTTGAATTAGACATTTGCTCAAATGAATAAAAACTATGTAGATAATAATAAATGAAAACTAAATATTTAAATAGTCATTAATCTTTTTTTTTTTTTTGTTTCTATATTAAATGAGAAAAAAAAAGAAATGATTACAACAAAATTATCGCAATATAAATCATTATACATTCAAATCAATAGTCAACTTTGAAAGGTAGGTAATGCATAATTTGACTGACGCATTGGTCCATTCAATCCATATTTTCGATAGAAAAATATTATTTCACCGATAAGTATGATGCCAATTATTGTTATGCTAATGCCCATACCTAATTGTGCTGCAACACCAGGTGGTGATTCACCTAAGAAAACAAATGTGTAATATATTTTATAGTATATTTTATTACCTTTTTGATAATTTATAGGTGTTGTTGTTACAGGTGCCGTATCTATTATAATAAACAGTGAATTGATTTACAATCAATTGAAATAAACGTACTATTTATTAATATTGGACTTGATTGAGGAACTACAGTTATTGAAGAATTATTTATATCAAATAGTGTAAAATTTTGTGCTGATACAGATGATAATGCAGATTGTTTGATACAAGTTATATCACAATTAGTACTACTACTTTTGAATGATATATCAGTGATCATATCATATATATAATTATCAGCTCTATTGATTATTAAAAAGAAAAAAGAAATCTTTATTTCAAAATTTAACATTATAAAATACTTTGATATAGATCGAATTTCAATACGTATGACTGTAATAGTAACATTACGGTTTGTTAGATTGAATGAAGAAACAACCTATATAGATTGATTGAAATCTTCTTTTTGAAATCACAATATACGTACCATTTGTTGTACACTTGTTAAAACTGTAGCATTAGTAATATCTCCTGTCCTTAAAGGAGATGAACTTTCCACAACATATTTGTAAGTTAAATTAACTATTATAAATATAAAAAAAAAAGGAAAAAATATATTGATTATACAAATTGTTGACATATTACCTGTTGAAAAAGTTATTGTTTCAGACGTTGTATGAAAAGAACTAATTGATGTAGATAATGAAGAAGAATATCCTTGCGAGTTATTTATAGTCACTGAAGCTGTACCTGCCAAAGAAGTCATTATTGTTGATGAGATAGGAGTAGACATTGAATATGATGATGAAGAGAGACTCGTTATCGTAGAATCTGGATATAATATAGAAGATAAAGTTGATGCTGTATTTGTCATCATCGATGAAGCACTAGAATCCGATGCCGATATGGCCATCGTGCTAGTGATTGATGTATTATCAGAATTTGCTTGGATATGAATTTGTGAAAAATTCACAAATACAAAAATAATGATTTGAAATACATGATTATTCATTTTGAGAAGCAAATATGAAAGTCTTCTTGTTATAAAGTGAAAACTGTTTTATTTAAAAAAACAAAAGTGCATTTCTCGTCGCTCTTCCTTCTTTTTTTTTTTTTTTGCTTTCTCTTTTTCC